ACACACACACACACACACACGGTCATATGCTTAACGCTATGGGGCTTCTTCTATTTTCAGCTGGAACACTCTTGCATATGCGAACACACTTCATGTGTTTTTCATTTCGTGGCCTGGGGGTCTGTTTTTAAAGAATGAGTAATCAGATATTTCTTTTTTTCTTTTTTCTTTCTTTTTTTTCTTTTCTTTTCCTCTTTTTTTTTTTTTTTTTTTACAGTTCATAGAGTGACTCTAGAAAGAAGACACAGACAAGCAAACAAGCAAGAGGCCATTGAAATTTAGAGGCAAGTAGATCCTGTAAATATACCAGGCTAATTCAGATACTGGTGGTCTCAGGGGATGGGGATGAAGGGTAGGAGATCATCTGATTTTTAAGCTTTTCACAATGGCTACTGAGACATCCATCCATCCATTATCCATTATCTATACACCGCTTAATCCTCACTAGGGTCACGGGGGGGCTGGTGAAGGCAGGGGACACCCTGGACAGGTCGCCAGTCTATCACAGGGCCACACTTAGAGACAGACAACCAAGCACACTCACATTCACACCTACGGACAATTTAGAATCACCAATTAACCTCAACATGTTTTTGGACTGTGTGGGAGGAAGCTGGAGAACCTGGAGAGAACCCACGCTGCACAGGGAGAACATACAAACTCCACGCAGAAAGATCCTGATACCCTCACCGGAACGCAAACCAGCGAACCCACTCGATGCGAGGCAGCGGTGCTAACCACTGAGCCACCTTGCAGCCTGCTACTGGACATTATTGTAGTATTGTGTGTGACACTGTAGCCACAGGGAGATCTGTTAGTCTTGCACATTTCTTGTTTCACATCAAGAGGACAAATGTCACAGAAGCTGCTGCTTGCCATTCCTCACCCCACTCAAAGCAAAGCATCTTCAACAGCAGCTGTTGCAGCAACCGACTAATAAAGACTTGTGGAGAAATTCGATTTGCTGACAAAGTCCACTCTGACTGGCACATTATGACTGTTCTTTCCAGTGAATTCAAAAAAGTAAATACTATATGAATAATTAATTATTAACAAATGAATGAAAAGAGAGAATACTTGACAAATTGAAGAAATTGTGGGCCAAAAGCACGACCTTATGTTTAATTAACATAATTAAATGACAAAATAATAAAGTGTTGATGCACCAAATGTCTCCAATGCAATCAGTATTAAATCATAGGACATGCTGTGTTTCATAAATAGAAGAAAATGGTGTTTTGTTAAATTATTTTTGACGGATAAACCCCTTTTCTAAATCATTGTTTCTGCTGTGTAGAGCTTATTGACACATGCAGGTCAGAATCCTTTCTATGGGCAAAGTTCATGTTCAGCAGTATGCATGTGTGTTTTTCAAAAAAAATAAACATGACGGATTCATTGCAGCCGCATACAGGAGTCTACATGAAGTTTTTTTTGTAAGTGTTGTTACAAGGGAGTTTATTCACAGTGGGATATGCAGTCAAATTCACTGCAAGGCAAGCTGATTGATTAGTTGACTAAAGGTCCACGAATTTCCCCAGACTGTTAATACACTATAAGGGTCTGTAGGGGAATACTAAGATTTTCCCATAAATTCTGAAACTGCTGACAGCATTCAGTGCATTTTCAGTAGCTTGCTCTGTCTAATCCTTTGTGAATGCATTTATCTCACCTCACTGAAAGATGGATTCTCTGCTGAAAACATAAATGCAGACTCAGCCATGGATGAATAACACAGAGGAAGGCATTGATTATTTCAGCTTAGAATTTTCAGTGCTGATCACACTAACTTTAACCCTCATTTGCAGTAAAACAAATAACCGTTCTGGCCCCAAATCCCCTCAGAAGAAGCATTAGTTCTGCTCGGTATAGCAAATGAGATGGCCTTGCCAAGGATAAAGACGTAAACCAGTTTTGCGAAACAACAGCTGAGAGCACATCAGAAATATGAAGCGTCCAGAGGGAGCAGGACAAAGTTCACTCAGCCGAAAAACTATGTATGAAATTGGAGTGAAGTTTGAAGAGCTCTGTCTGTCAAAAACACACACACACAGCACCAGTGCTTGGTAGGGTCGTCTCTATACCTTCATACACATCAGAGATGTAATATCGCTGATGTCAACTTCATGACGTCACTCACACATTTCTCTCTGGATGGAAAAACTCAATGAGCCTTTAGATCAGGGAAATCCTCATCCTCTTTAATTGACAAATTTAAATAAATGATGTCTTTCGAAAGTCACTACTTTTTGATGGATAATGTTTTCATCATAGCTTTATGTTTACATTAATATCATTTACATGCTTTGCTCCTGTCACTACATCTGGGTTTAATATTGCCCCTAACCTATCAGTCTTGCCTGTGGTGTCCTTGTAAGTTCTTTATAATTCTGTAACACTTGCCAACAGCGTTGTATTTCTCTACATTAGTGTGTACTTGTTGTCTGTGTCGTATAGTTTCTCACCAGTGGATACTCGCAGCTCTGTGATTTGTGTAATGAGACCCCTCATTTGGAGACCGGGCCAGGATTGTCATTAAGTTAGGAATTTTTCTGTTAGGTACACGAGGAGCAAGGGTGCTACTGGGTTTGTGCTGCAGTTTGGGCAGGGAGTTTAGTCGTTTGCTTTCCTATTCGTTATTTATTTATTTATTTTTGCAGTATATTTAGCAAGTAGGAACTCTGTTAGCACTCTTTTGAGTTATTATTGAATTAATATGATCAGTTATTATTTCTTCCCCTGATTTAGCAACACTCACTGGCCATGTTTTTCTTTTACACTTTTGTCTCCTTTGTTTCTGTGCTCCCTTCCTTCCCTCAAGAAGAGCTGGCACGTAACAATCGTTCTTCTCAGTGTTATTTGTTTTTCTCTTACCCAAGCTTTTCTCAACATGATGCAAACTGCAACAGTTTTCTAAGTCTTCCTGAATTCACCGTATTGTTTAGCTTAATTATCTATTGATATCAAAAAAGCAGGAAATGCATTAATTGGTAGTGGCGGTAACTCATACAAGGAGAATTAAGGCTAGAGGGCAAGACTTTTACATATAAATGAACATCCGTTACATTCAAGCCCTTGCCAAAAACTGCACTCAGTATTGATTATGACGATGCTCAGGTAAAACTCTCTGCAGTTCACTTTTCACTCTAAATCTTGGGTGTGTGGTGACAGTCCTGTGCTGGTGCACCAGGAGCGATGTGATTTTTTTTAACAATCAGTTTTAGATTAATTGCAGGACTGAAGTGGGAAGTGATGAGAGAAAACAGTATGGTTGAAAAAACCAAGTGAACATCCCAGAAAAAAAATTCTGATGACCTAGATTTAAAAGTTTCTTTTTCAGAGGAATGATTACAGTTTTACAAATAAAAGCGATCAGCAGTGAGGCATATGACATAAGCACATGTTGACAGTGTTTGTATAAATATGTTAACTGTCCTAAGGGACAAACAAAAGTTACACCCTGCTGGTTCAAGCAAAAGCCTACAGGCCAAACGGCAACCTTTAGGGCAGGGGTGTCGAACTCTGGTCCTCGAGGGCCGCAATCCTGCATGTTTTAGATGTTTCCTTCTTCCAACACACCTGATTCAAATGATCAGCTCATCATCAAGCTCTGCAGAAGTCTGATAACGATCCTGATCATTTGAATCAGGTGTGTTGGAAGAAGGAAACGTCTAAAACATGCAGGATTGTGGCCCTCGAGGACCGGAAGTCGAAACCCCTGCTTTAGGGGCTCAGAAAACCGGAGTTCGACTATTGGTCACTTGTAGCTGGATCCAAAGATGAGTCAGCCCCCATAGATCCTCATGTTAAAATGCCCAGTGTTCCAGCAGAACTAAACATGTTTATCACACGTACAGGTTGAAGGTTTAAAGTTTAGCATGCTTAAGGGCTGTTCTGAGTGACAGGCAGGTCACAGGACAGTCAGTGGCCCAGTAGCATGCTGTGCTTTGTTAGCAACACTCCACCTCTTTGCTCAGTTTTGGATGGGTGGGAGTTAAGGTGGAGTCGTGCTTTTTGTGGCCAAGCGTCTAGAAGAGTACGTGTGCATACAGACTGTCTGCACAGCCAGCAAGCCGACTGCACATGTACCAGAAAAACTGCTAAACCTGCTTGTTATTAAGAAGAGAGGCTTTGAGAGGAGATCCTCTGTCATCTACAACTTTATCATTCCACATTAAGAAAGCTGAAATTAAAGTCGTTGCTGCCGTACTGTGAAGGTGCTTTGATTTGTGCATGATTTCCATCGACGGTGCCCAAGCACAGTAGGAAGCCTTTATATCTCTAGAAGTCTTGCTGTGTCTGCCCACTGTTGCAGGCCAATCTGTGACTCATTGCTTTTAGATATATCCATGGAAGCCCTGTGTGTTTATCTGTGCTCGACATGATGAGGGACAATGCAACTGATAGAATGAAGCATTCTTAATGCAGCCTCCTGCAGTAAATGGCCTGTCTATCTGTCTATGGACACAGGCGCAGTGAGAATGAATTCACCTTTAGGTGGAGTCAGTCACAGCCAGGATGGTGTCCAGAAACCTGTTCATGAAACCTACAAGTGATACCTCAGAGGGTTCTCTCTTAATATATAGTTTGTTTATGTTTTGGACCAGTAAAGGTAAGAAATGTTAATTACTCAGACAAAGATACCTCAACATCAGAGCACATAAATCCCAGCAAACAGGTGAGACAAGCACAGAAACAAACAACACAGAGAACCTACAATACAGCTTCTGTCAAATCATGTCGGTTAGAAATATCTCAGTTTGACAAACGAAACCACTCAGAGACACCGTCTAACTCTGACCCGGGTTTGTTTAGCCCACCTCCACCCGCCTCCTCCCGTCCTGTGACGTCACACGGGTACAAGCGGCGCAATAAGCAGCGGCGCGGCTCGCGCTCACTCCGTTACCGGTGCCAAGTACGCACGCACAGCGAAAGCGCTTACCGGAGTGTTTTTGTTTGTTTTTATTTCTCTTTGGAGAGTTTTATTTTCAGCTCTTTTTTGCAGCCGCTGACAGGACTGAGAACTTCTTGCGGAGGTAATTTATTGAGAAAGTTGGATTACGCGGAGCCACTTGAGGGAGTATGCTGCTCAGATGATGAGCAGCAGTGAAGAACGTATTTGTGAATTCAGCGGAAGCCCGTGCTGTCAACGGTAATTTGTTTTGTATTGTTTTTTGTTTCATTTCATTATATTTCCACACGTGCTTCAAGTGAACCGACTGTCATCACTCACATTAGCGCAGACTGTTCCTGAGACCTGTGCGTAATAATCAGCAAAACGGATTATGTTTGGTCGAGATGCAGTTTATGCTGTTTCCAAACTCACTGAGAGCCTGACCGGTCATTGTAGAGCTTGCAGTTCTTCGTTGCGTGTGGGACACAGTTACATTTCTGAATTCAAGCAAGTGGAGTTAGTGTCACTTATCGCTCCTGACCAAATGCCATGTTATCTCAGCCATCCTCTATCAGGAATCATGGACTGCTGCCCGGAGTGTCAAAGCCACAGCATGGTCTTAGTGAAGTGGATGTGCAAAAAAAAAAAAGAAGCAGTTTGACAGCGTTTGATACCACAAAATATCTGTTCAGCACATACTGTTAGTGTCAGACACCATTCTCCGGTGAAGAACAACAGCACACTTCTTCACTTTTAAAAAAATGATTTACAAGAGCTGTTATGGCTGAATAAAGCAACTTTTCTATTCTTATAAAACTTCAGGTACTCTCTTTCCCTGCAGCCTGCTTTTTAGGCTTCACATTTGCCTAATATCGAATCCAAATTACACGATAACACAATAACCGAATAATAATTTAAACATTTAGTTGTGGCATTCCTGCGTTGCATTCTGTGGTGCAGTGCTTATGTTACTGCGTGCACCCTGTGTATAAGTAGTCTTCTGCAGACCCCATCAGCTCAGTCACGTCAAACCTTCTATAGAACCATATTTGTTATTGAATATTAAATTTAATTGCACTGCAGACCAAAGCAATACATCGCTCAGCTCAGCCTAGCGGAACCAAAACCAACAAGCACACAGCCACACACTGTTGTGAATAACTAATTTAGTTATTCTACCCTAATTTGTCCAAATAATTGCATGTCTAATGCAGAATTACTAATTATTTTCAAGCAAAAAAAAAGAAGATGAGGCAAAGATGTGCACATGCTGAAGACTTATAATTATTAACATGACATGATTAAGTTTTCATTTTGCTGCGATTTAGATATTTGATCCTCTGTGCATTACAACATGTATCTAATCATGTATTGGGCAGAATAAACACTTTAGAATACACACAAATTTAATTGTTAGGGGAGTTTATTGTCCAGGAGTGATTTGGATCCTAATGAGACCCACTTGAGAAGCAACACGCGAGTGAGAGAACAACATGAGGGCCTCCAGTCCCCTGTGCACCTTGTATTACACTGATCATAGTGGGGCTTCTGAATGTGCCAATTGTTAGGAAAACACTTCTCACACACAACCAAACAAACATATTCATTACTACCGCATCTGCTGCAGCTAAGATCCACTCTCCCCGGTGAAGAATGAGGCCTGTGCAGACAGCTGCACTCCATGAACGAGAGGTGTCTCCCTGTATGTTGTCCTTTGTGGTAATTTGCAAACATTAGCAGGCGGTACAGGTGCTTCAATGCATACAGAATACACATTAGTGAAGTTTTGCAATGCATAAAGCAATCTGATGGTCTCTAAGTGCTGCTACAGTCAGCAGGGGGGACTGTTAGCGGTCATGAGTTCCATTATGTATAGGGATAAAAATGCCAAATGATAATGCGGGGCTAGGGGTTGCCTGTGGTAACAGGTTACATATACTGTATATTTGACCTTAATATGCATGTAGCACACTGCACATTTAAAGAGCCTGTCAGCTGAATGAGGGAGACTGTGATCTGGATTCCAAGGGGCAAAAACTCAAAGTCAATAAAATGAGATAGTGAATTTGTTTTTGATCATAGTTGCACAGACACTTAAGTGACTCCACACTTGTCTCTTTTACATGATTTTAGCTGTAAGTTGTTCTTTTGTGTCTTTTTCCTTTGATGTTATGTCACAACTGCTGCAGAGAATTAGCGCTGTGGTATGGATTTGTGCTCAGTTTGTGTCCGTAGTTACCTAAGCTGTCACAGAACTGAGTAATAACAGGTGGTTACAGCTCAATTGCAGCATATACATGCGTCATACTTAATAACAGTAAAGTAATTTTGCCTCCAAGACACATTTCTTGCTTGCAGCTGCGATGCTTGATAAAAGAAGGGAGAGAACGGTCTTAAATTTATCCGAGTTGTTGTGCTTTCAGGGGTTTCAGAGCGCAAGAAAAGTGCAGGAAACACAGTGGCTTAATTCCTGCTCCTTAACTTGCTAGTTTTTCTTTGGCTGTTGTGCAGAGAATAGATGTAAGAAAAGAGACCTCATGATAGAAACTGAATCACAGAGAGACAAAGGGAGCGCGAGTAAATGAACAAAAGAGGCAGATCTAAAGAGATGAGGTGTGATCGACAGGTGTGAGTGGAGGTGTGAGCCTCCGTCAAGGTACCGTGAATGTTCTGTGTGGCTTTACAGACTCCAATTCATTCAGAACCCTGTAGTGGACCCAGAGGAGCTAAGAATAGCTTCTACTACAAAGAGCTGTCACTCTGGATTGTAACAGAGAGGTGATAAGGGTCTGTCTAGATGCCACCGCTGGGCTCCACTTAGCTCCATGTGCCCTCCGACCCATAACACGTTGTCCACAACCACACATACTGATATGTACGTGAACAAACACAAACATGCTCAGGTGTCAGCTGTGTCAAATGTTGTACTGTCTCCATCCTCGTGACAATTTCTGGAAAAAATGCAGGCATGAGAGGCATCACATGGATCTGTGCGTCATACAGGGAATTAAGCAGATCGAGTGTTCCTTGCAGGGTAGTCCGAGTAAATGAAAATTCAAAACAAGCAGAGCTCTGATCCTCACATTCTCACACTTTAAAACAAACTGGAGCCAGTTCATTCAATGATTTTAAAATTTTGTCTTTTTTTTTTTTTAAATCGGGGAGGTGGGGCGGCGACAAAAATCTACTATTACGGAAAGATATTTTTAAGCATTTAAATGCAGTTTCATTATCTTAAATCAAGTAAAATCATGTAAAACTGAGGCCGACTACACAAGTAACATTTTCACATTATGTTCACTTAAAATAAATTTCAAACTATGTTAATTCAACCTTGTTTCACAAACAAACAAACAAACAAAAACCATTTAGGCACAAAATCACCTCCTTACATTTTAAAACTTCCAGCCATGTTCAGAATAGACATCAGCGTACAACATGTGCACTCTCTCTTGTCTACACACACACACACACACACTGTGTATGTGCAGATACACAATGTTTGTATATACAGTTGAATGGGAGAAATTAGAACCAATCCCTTCCTGTTAGCAGCAGGAAACATCTACTGCTAATTGAATATACATCGACTTCCACGTTGCTTCGAGCTACAGTTTGATGGCAGATTTCGCTGTCCAACTTTCAGGCGCGTGCGAGGTTAAACTGATAAGTTATGAGTTTATTAAATCTCCCCAAGTACACCTAACAGTGTTACAACAGCAGAGCAACTCTCAGTTCTTTTAATGGAACAAGCTCTTTACCCCTGGAGGAAAATGTAATTAGTCAAAAGGATTCAGACAGTTGCTTTCGATTGTAAAAATGTTGTAAAAAGGTTGTAGGAGATGCCTGTTGTTGCATCTTTATTTGTTCGCCACAGCCACAGTGCAGCAGACTGTGTTCCTGTTTCATCGCCAACATGTGAACACTTAATGTCTTGGCTGGAAACCACTTCCCTCTCTGCCCATATGAGCCGTGTCCTGATGTTGTCTCCCGTTAGTGTCTGTTGCCTTTTCCTCCGTGTTCTGTGCTCAGGACCAAGCCCACGTATCAGATATGAAGTGCAGCACATTCCATCACTCACTGTGCTCTGGGTGGCTGCCAACACCGTACCTTCCTGCCCCTGTGAACAGATCAAGACAGTGTTTTGATGTTGTCCGTTCTGCAGCGGGAAAACAGCAAGATTAATCACTCCGACGTGCCAAAGGAGTCCCCTCCTGGTGAACGCGCTGAATTGTTCCTGCAGCATCGGCCAAAAGCGATTAGCGCTGTAGCTGTTGTCAACAAACAAAGCTAAACAGCGGTTTTTAAAATTTGTTTGACATTGTGCTTTGCTAAGTGTGTGCCCTGCCACAGTCGGAAATCATTGCCTCATTCGTTTTTCCACTTTCTGGCAAACTGGACATAAGAAACCTATTATAATATCGTAGATAAAGCAAAACCAGAAGATGCAATGTAGAGAAACCCAATGCATCATTTCATTCCTGGTTTTCTACGGGCTTTGCCATTCCAGCAGCGCAGCACAAAGATCCACCACATTCCATTTGGACATCAACCAGAGACTTAAACACTTAAATCATATCCTTCCTGTCTTCACTCTCAGTTGGTTCAAGAAAGTTCTACAAGGAATAGTAAGAGAATTATAGGCTCCCAAGTGTACGAGGTTTAAAGGCGATTGTCCAATGGTAGATTGATTTATCCATTATTTTGGATCAATACCTCATCACTGTTAATACTGCAGGTATTCATAATGACCTTTTTTAAATCAATAACCTTTTAAAGGGAAATCCTGTTTATTGATTATAGAACAGTTTATGGAGAGAACGCGTCTCTACAGAAAAATCTTTGTTTCTTATTTGTATGAAAAGTTGACATCCAATATTCAGAATTTTTCCTATAATTGACATCGTAATTTTTCTATACCTTTTATTTTTTCTTTTACAACCTTCTTGATAAAATTAATTGGTTTAAACATGCACTTCTCTGACTCTGAAGCAGCCGCCTCTCTCTTTCTGTTGTCGCCACTCTTTGGTCTTGGTCAGTGTCTTGACCACAGCACTTTCTGAATGGTTAAATGTCGTGAATAACATCAAAACAACACAAAAGGATAAAGGTTAAAAAGCTCCATATGTAAAGCATAGATAGACAAAGACATCTCAATGAAGATCTGTGTTGGACTTTGTGGTGTTCTAAATTTTGACACCAAGATAAAATATTTTACTGTGAATGCATATTGATTCCAAACTTTGGTTATAGGTCAC